CCATATTCAATTGTTGTTAGAGATGATGGTTCCTTTCCTATCCTCTATCCTCTGTATCTGAATGAATTCTTTTTTTTGGATAGGTACCACTTGACTTTTCTCATCCTCATAGCAAATAAGGAATTCGTGTCTTGATCATTCTTTATTCTTGACTAGTATATTGTTGTATGTTTTGAAATTTTTTTTTTTCACATATAGCTCGCACAATCACGCACTAAAATAAATTTACTTAGACATAAAATTTTGACCTCTATTCTGATTATATCATCATTTTTCCTTCTTTTTTGAGTAACCGGGGTTAGTTGCTCATTATCTCTATGTTTGACTTTTAGTGTCCTTTTTTTATCCTAAAATCAATTCATATTTGCTAATGGTATACCTCGCAGTCCCAAGGGGTAACCACGTTGTACGGGACCTTGGCAAATTCCTAGATGACCTCTTAAATTTCCATGAAACTAATTATTGCTATGACAAACTAATTAAATCATTACTTTTAGCCTAATTATTTTCATTGCCCCTTCAATTCAAAAGCCACTTTGTTTCTCCATCTCATAATCCCAAACCTACTCTTAAATTTTTTTAATTTTAATTTTAATTTAATTATTTAATAATTATGAGCTGCATTTACTTTCATAATGGCATAATTGCAAATTATCAAAACTGAGAGGACAAAAGAGGCAGTCAAAAGTTTTGATATAACAATCCTCTTTCATGTGCATTACGTAGATAGATATATCTATATGACAAGTAAAAAGAGCTTAAAAATCAAGATACAACTGATACCCAAATGCTACTTTAAAGTAAGTTGCAAAATGGCAAGAACAACCAACTATGCATATAAAACTAATTCAATACAAGCCAGTTTCTCGTTGAGTACACTGCTGCCACTTATTCTCTTTCGTATCTTTCGGCATGCGCTCAATAGGTTATCTTAACATACAGACACCAAGCTCTAGGATACAACAGAAAACAATACTCGATTGCCTACATACATAAAATTAGACAACGGTGTGGCAAGCAATATTTGATTCAGCTCCAGAAACATTTCATATGTAGCCCTTGCTCTTCAAGCTCTCAACTGAGTCCTTAATGATATCCTCCATAGGGATGAAGCTCATGCCCAAATCGATCAATTTCTTCGATGGATCTTTAGCCCTCAGTAGACCAGGCTGAGTGTCCTTTTGGAATCTGCATTGAGAAAAAAATTGCAAAACAATGTTATGAAAATTTGAACAGGGAACTTTAGCTTTGCTGATATACAGAGTTTGAGCTCATACTGAGGTATTTTGTATTCCGGGTAAAGTTCAGCTACTTTGTTAGCAAAGTCACCAAAGTGAGCAATGGCTTCACAACACAAGTGCCTCCCTGATGCTGATGGATTTTCATAGACTAGAATGTGAGCCAATGCAACATCTTTGACATGAACAGAACCCATATAAAAATTTTCATAAACCTCAGTGCAGCCTGTTACAGTAGCATCACGAAGGATCAGTTCTCTTGAAATTACAGTTCTAACACTAGCACGCCTTTTTCGAGAACTAGCTCAACTAACTAATATACATAGCATGGAAACTTCTATCATGCCCATCAAACTGTGCTGAACATTACCACTTCTTGAGGACTCCTAGCACAAATCCAGCGTTTTTCAAGCATATACTCCATACAATATATGCTGATGCTTTACACTTTTGACATATCTTTGATACTTATCAAATCCTTGTAGCCCACATTTTTATGTTTAAGAAACTTTTTTTTTACATCCTAATTGCAGGTTGAGATCTGTATTATTACAGTTAGAAACGTCAAAATAGTAACTTGTATTCAACGATGACAGCTAATGACATACTACAAGATAAACAGAGAGATGTGTTAAGCTATTGATCAATAGAAAAACAAAGAGTCGAGTCCTATTTCCAGGTCAAACTCACCAAAAATTGCCTTGAAATTGGTCATTTTCCAGATTTTGCATTTGCTCCAGTCAAGACATGCATGCTTCACCAGAATTCAAGGTGAGAGGATATGAGATTGAACATTCTCATGAGAATCTCCTACGATCCTATCTTAGGAGCTATTTTAAAATTTGATATTACAAACAGGAGAAGAATTGAATGAATCCTGAATAAAGAGAAGCAAAATCAAGAAAATTAGGGACTTCGCAGATTAAATATGAAGAAAATTTAGCAAATGACGCTGATACGTTGATCAGCCAAGACCATGTTACATACTTATAAACATGCGATGGATCATGGAGGCAAATAGTGTTAAACTTTCATCTTGTGTTTTATGCTTGCTTTAGCTTTTATTGGTGCATCTGTATCAATATCAATGTCTAGTTTGATTGAATATCCAGTACATAGGAACCCCATCGAGTCATCTACAAAGCATGTTTCAGAGCTTTAGCCTCTCTAGGCCATTCCACAAGCCTTGATCGTCGTAATACTGTCCATAGAATTGAAGCAATTCTCCCATGAATGTCCATTTCCGTTAGACTAGCTTTGGCAATGAATGAACATGAATAAGTCAGCAACCAGTAATTCATATGATGCTTACAAACACCAGAAAAACTTCATTCTCGCTGGAGATAGATACAAAAACTATTTTCTAGATACCTAACACGATACGAAAGACACAGATATTATAAGCAAAGGGTTTCTCTGTGGAGGAGATAAAAAGACACATATAGCAAAGAAAATGAAAGGAGATGGATAATCGAGGAGATGGGAGACATCAATCAAAGACTGGTGATATCTACCAAAGCGAGCCTTTGTTTTTACCAAGAGATGGGGTTTTGTTTACTACCCTCAACATCATGTATCATGGTTTCAGAGAAAGAGTCTCTCACTCTCTAGTTCATTGAAGTCTCGTCCGGTGAATGTAGCGCAAAAATGCAAGCATCATAATCTATGTAGCACATCTAAAATGACTAGAACAAAAGTTTCTGCCAAGATACCTTGAAGAAGGCGAAGAAGCATGAGCATGCTGGCATTCAGAGCCGGCGGGATTACAGGCCCCATCACCGTCCCCGGATTCACCACCACCACCTCCATCCCTTTCTCCTTCTCCGCAAACTCCCACGCTGCCTTCTCCGCCAGCGTCTTCGACAACGGGTACCAAATCTACAACCAAAACACCCAAGCCAACCAAAAGTTATCATCAATCCTTGAGAGGGAGGGGGGTGATTCAAATTTGTCAAAATTTTTAAAAAAAGCTTATGGATAAAATTTGCTTGAACCCTGCAAACCTTAGAGGTGTTTTCTGTAATTTAGCCTGAAAAGTAAGGGAAAAATTTTCACCCCATTCTTTCTGCAGTAATCCTCATCGGCCCAGCACTCTTCGTTCTTGATGACATCGGCAGGCCAGTTAGGGCTCGGAATAATCGCCGAGATCGATGACGTCACCACGACTCTCTTGGCACCGGCGTCCTTCGCCGCGCGAGGACGTTGATGGTCCCCTTGACGGCGGATCGAGGAGCTGGCGATCGGGATCGTCGACGCGGTCAACGATGCAGGGGGACGCCACGTGGATCACGCCGGCGGCGCGCTCACGGCGGCGGCGATGAGGCCGGGTCGAGGAGTCGATCTGGAAGAGGCGGAGGCGGTCGGCCGCAGCCCATTCTAGGGTTTCCAGGTGCTTCGTCTCGCCGGCGTCGCCTGAGGACAGAATCAGGAAAAAAAATACGTAAACTTGCGGAAAAGCCCTGTATAATTAAAGGGGCCAATGTGCAAAAAAAAAAAGAGACGATAAGACTGGGGGGCAGAGAGGAAATTTTGGAGTTGTGAAGGGGCTGAACTGAGATTTTTGACGGTGGCGTGGACGGTGTAGCCGCGGTCGAGGAGGAAGCGGATGATCCAGGACCCGATGAACCCGCTACCGCCGGTCACGCACACGGTCTCCTTCGCTTCGCTCGACATCTTCGCTCTTCGCTTTGAAGGACGAGAGTTTTGTGTTAGGACAGCTAGCGGACTTAAACAGACATCGGATGCTTTTGCGCTTTCTTGTCACTGCAATTATTCGGAGTTAGGATAAATTTTCAAAACCGACCCTTTTGAGTTTTTAATTGCAAAAAACGATCCATTTCAATCTTATTTATAAAAACCGACCTAGTTGGTTGAAACTGGGTCGGTTTTTGAAAATTTTTTCCCAAACTTCACGGGAGTTCAACTCCCGTGAAGTTTCCCAAAAAAAATTAAAAAAACCGACCTGTTTTCAGCCCCTGGCTGAAAACAGGTCGGTTTTTGTAAATATTTTCAAAACCGGTCGTTTTTTGCAATTAAAAACTCAAAGGGGTCGGTTTTAAAAATTTATCCTTCGGAGTTACATGAGCTGTAATTATGTTTGATTTCATTTAATTTTTAAAATCGGTACATTTTGCAAATGCAAATTATATTTCGATTTTGATTGGGAATTGAAAATATTATAACTGAAAGTTATTAATCGCCATGGAAAGAACAACTATAGCTATTTCAAAATGTCCTAGTTGTAATTTTCACAGTTACAGCGAGTCAAACGGAAACTATTTTTGAATTGAGTTTTGCTACATGGATCCAAAATATGGGACCAATAAAGGGGACAAGTGTGTTGTTCCCCTCCTATTGGATAGGGGTGAGCACAGTTCGGTCCAAACCGAAAAAACCGACCGAACCGACCGAAGTTTAGCGGTTCGGTTCGGTTTTAGTTCTAAATCGGTTCGGGTCGGGTTGAAAAATTTTCAACCCGAACTGCCCGAACCGACCGCCCTAACTCATACGCATTTTTTCATCACCCGACCCGTTCTTTCACTTGCTATAAGATCCAAGCTAAACCTAAGTCTCTCTTCTCCAAACTCAGCTTCCAGCCGCCGCTCTGTATCCCACGAAAATTGCTCCACTTCTCACAAGCTCCAACCAAATCCAATTCCATGGCGACTCCACGAAACCCCAGCAATTTCCTCCTCCTCCTCCTCAATCTCTCCCTCTCCTCAGATCTTTTCTCCCCGATCGACAACCACTTAATCGACTGCGGATCCGCGTCCTCACCCGCAACCCTCGTCGACCGTCGCGTCTTCACCTCTGACTTTGAACCCGCCGCCTCCTCCCGCCTCCTCTCTTTGGGTCCTAAGATCTCCGTCCCTGACCCAAACCCTCGATAGACGAGGAAGAAAACACAGCAAGCGTACCTCTTTGCGGAGCGCTCCCGTTCTCACCAAAACCCTAGAAAAATGTCGGGGGTTTCTTCAAGGTGAGCGAAACCCTAACTCTCTCCTCGATCGTTTCTCGATCTCAGTTACCCTAAACTCTCAATTAGTAGGTGGATATGACGAAGGTGAAGATGGATGTGATCAGGTCGTGGAACGCGACGAGGGTGATTGAGCTCCTTGGATTTGAAGATGAAGTCCTGATTAATTTCTTCTATGGTCTTCTAGAGGCAAAGGTATGTCATATTCTGTAATTTAGCAGAAGCGTATATTTTCTCTACTAATATTAGTCTATAATTAAGAACCATATGTGGTTTTCTCCCCCCTTCTGTTTGGATTATGGCAGCTTGGTTGCTTAAGTTTGATGAAGTTAGAACCGACAAACCGAACCGAACCGCACCGAACCGACTTGCAACGGTTCGGTTCGGTTTTGAATAATAGGTGGTTCGGTTCGGTTGTCTAAAATTTGATAAAAACCGACCGAACCGACCGTTTGCACACCCCTACTATTGGATAATGAGTTGATCATCATTTTGGGTACTTAAGGAATTTTTCTTTTGAATTAGTAGGAGAAAACTACTAAACATATTATTCTTTTTTTAATTAGTTTTGCATTCAACTGAAACTAAAAATAAAACCACTATTCAACTATGTTTTGAAAACAAAAATAAAAAAAAGACTATTGAACTTGTTATTTTAATATTGATACATTAAAATACCTACAAATTACAATGTTTTTAGTACTGCACATGATCTGAGAAGTGGGCAGTGTTTAATTACCACAGCCGTCCAGTAAAACAGAATAAAAATGTATATATTTTCTTTACATTGAGGTTACTCAAAGAGGGAATCCCACCAAAACCAGTGAGGTGCTGATAAAGGCTGGCTCCCTTTATTTTTTGCGAGTCATTTTCATGACCACATGGGCTTTTTTGGCCTACTTTTGGGTTTTATACGTGTGCGGCTGCGCAAAACCTCTGGTGATTGTTAATGCACAGATGGAATAATAAGATAAAGAAAAATTGCAAAAAAAAAAAAAAAAAAAAACTACGGAGAGCCAATATATAACGAGTAAGGAGGAGTGCGGATCCTCTGCCCTTCAAATGTCAAATAGCGAGTCAGTTTGGATACTTCACTGTCGCTCTAGTTGTATCATCATTGGTTCGATCTGCGTGGTGGAGTTTTGTAAAGGGCTGTTTGGTTCGCAAAAACAGCCCCCTGAAAACGATTTTCACCATCTTCATCTGTCAGTTTTTAGCTGATGTAGCTGATCTATATAGATTCAATGATTCACCGCATCAGTTTTTATTTTATTTTCAGTCATAGGGTTTATTTTCTTTTGGTGCGAGGAACATTGGCTTGGTACTAGCCAAGTAAACTTTACAGTCCAGACCCAAGTGAACAGAATAAGTGTTCCAATGCCTAGTAATTAGAAATTAGGATTAGTCATAGACACGGATCGACCCTCGGCCTTTTAAACCAAGGCCCCAACCCCCAACCACTAGACTATTTGTGGGGGCTCCCGCTCCTCTAGGCTGAATATTCTACAAGGATTTCCAGTCGCGTATAATAAAAAAAAGACGAAGGAATTACTTGAGAAAAACCAAATAAACAATTCCGATGGCAAATTAAAGGGATTCATGACTTAATCCTTTTTGAAATGTTAGAAGTGAAAGAGCATAAAAATCCTGATACAACTGATAATCAAATGCTATTTTAAAATTTTAAGCCTTCAAATCTCCCTTCACTCTAAATCAGTTACATCGAAATAGATGTGCGGATCATAATCACCATGGGGTTTGCGGACGCGATGCACATCCATAGTATTTTATAATTAGCATGCATAACATTATTATTTCCAAATATAGTATTTTCCTTGCTTAGGACTTTTATTTATCATAGTATTTTTCGTTCTCATTTGAAAAAAGAAAAATTGAAAAAAAAAAAAAAAAAAAATCCTACGGAGAGCCAATATATAACGAGTAAGGAGGAGTGCGGATCCTCTGCCCTTCAAATGTCAAATAGCGAGTCAGTTTGGATACTTCACTGTCGCTCTAGTTGTATCATCATTGGTTCGATCTGCGTGGTGGAGTTTTGTAAAGGGCTGTTTGGTTCGCAAAAACAGCCCCCTGAAAACGATTTTCACCATCTTCATCTGTCAGTTTTTAGCTGATGTAGCTGATCTATATAGATTCAATGATTCACCGCATCAGTTTTTATTTTATTTTCAGTCATAGGGTTTATTTTCTTTTGGTGCGAGGAACATTGGCTTGGTACTAGCCAAGTAAACTTTACAGTCCAGACCCAAGTGAACAGAATAAGTGTTCCAATGCCTAGTAATTAGAAATTAGGATTAGTCATAGACACGGATCGACCCTCGGCCTTTTAAACCAAGGCCCCAACCCCCAACCACTAGACTATTTGTGGGGGCTCCCGCTCCTCTAGGCTGAATATTCTACAAGGATTTCCAGTCGCGTATAATAAAAAAAAGACGAAGGAATTACTTGAGAAAAACCAAATAAACAATTCCGATGGCAAATTAAAGGGATTCATGACTTAATCCTTTTTGAAATGTTAGAAGTGAAAGAGCATAAAAATCCTGATACAACTGATAATCAAATGCTATTTTAAAATTTTAAGCCTTCAAATCTCCCTTCACTCTAAATCAGTTACATCGAAATAGATGTGCGGATCATAATCACCATGGGGTTTGCGGACGCGATGCACATCCATAGTATTTTATAATTAGCATGCATAACATTATTATTTCCAAATATAGTATTTTCCTTGCTTAGGACTTTTATTTATCATAGTATTTTTCGTTCTCATTTGAGTTTTTCGTATTCTGTAGGACTTTGTGTACATATTGTACAATATTTGTATTGTATACATTGAAATGGATAACAAGACATTCCTTTTGCTAACAATTATCATTGTCAAGGCTGCAACATAAAGGAAAAGAGTCTCCTCTAATTTTTGGTTTGTCTGTTAACGGAGATCCTAGTTGTTTGGTCTTTTCCCCCTTTCTTTTATCCAACTGGCATAAGATCGGCAAAAATAATATATATATATATATATATATATATTCAAATACATATTAGTATATTATTTTTTCTCCGGCCATAAATGGGCCTCAAATTTGACCAGACCCAAATTTTGGTGAAATTTCTCACGTGACGGATCACGCGGTGCAAACATGGTTGCCAGCGTGGTTTCCAGCGTCATAAATCAGCTCCAATCCCAAACCCTATCCCCTCAATCTTTTGCCTCTTCCTTCATCTCTCCCTCCCCTCCCTCCTCCGGTCCTCTTGCCTCTCCGACGCCTCCCAGACCTTCAACCTCTTCAAATCCTCCCTCGACTCTCAATGTGGTGAGATTTTATACCTTCATTTCTAGGTTTTTTAGGGAGAAAGGGATAGTTTTGGATGTGATTAGTTGTAATTATTTGTCACTAGGAGCCACGCTGGCAGACATGTTCGCATCACGTGAGGCGTCATGTGAAAAAATTTGTCAGAAATTTGAGTCCGGCCAAATTTGAGGCCCATTTGTCGCCGGAGAAAAAATAATATACCAATATATCGTCGGAGCAAAAATAATTTATACCAATATTTCACCAGAAAAAAATATACCAAATTGTCATTAAGGTAAAAAAAATACCAATTTGATATTTTTGCCGCTTAAGATCTATGCATTTCTAATTTCTTTCTTTGTTTTTTTTTTCAGTAACTGATCTATGAACTTCTTATGTGTGGTTTCTTCTTTAGTGGTTAAATATATATTTTAGTAGCTAATTTTAACTGGTTAACCCTT